CGCTCTTGCTGAGAAAACTGCCAAAGCTTGCTCTGTGAAATTTCAGTCTGGGAGCTCCGCACAGCACACCCTTCTTTTACAACAGCACTTACCTGTGCTTGGGGGACGCGGATCTGGATGGAGATCTTGAGTAACTTTGATCTCTACTTCCACTTCGACTTCTGCTTTCTCTTCCTTTCTGAACGCTGCAAGAGACAGCAAACAGTCAATTATTTTGCTTAAAAGAGTAATGGGAGAAAATGAACTTCTTCATTATGAAAGTCTTACCCGTTTACTGGGCTGTTTGAACTCGTTCTTTTTGCTCCCTCCATTTTCCTTTTAGCATTCTTCATTGCCTGAACAGGTAGCGGTGAAGGTTTATTTCCTTTAACCTCTTTTGGAGACTCTAGGAAAACAAGCCTGTGTTACCTTATTTTGAAAGTATGAGTAGTGACTGAAAGAAGAACTGAAGCCTCCCCTCACCCCCCTTCATCATCTTTGTAACAATCAGTACTGTATACACGCAGTTTGCATACATGTGCGCACACACACAGTCACCCACAAGAAATAACTTCTGTGAATTTTTTCAGATCTAATCCAAAACATTTCTGCCAAAACACTGTAGTAACACCAGGGAGTTAACTGCAGTAGTAACACATTGCTTTCGAAGCCACTTCAAGAAGGCAGAACAGCAACTTCCTCTTCTTGTCAATTATTCAGTATCTTTTAAAAGGTGAACTGAGGAGGAAGATGGTAAATGTTATCTTCTAGGCAAAACATGCAACTAGACTAGAAACTTTAGGCTAAGTATGCAAGAAAACATTCACCACCCATCACCCAAATGTACTACTCCTGTCAGAGTTCCTAATCCTATCTATGCTTTAGTATTTCTTTAGTGTAACATGCCAATTGCAAGTATTTGTTTGAGTTTATTGCCAAAACCACATAAAAGCAAGCCCTTGTACTATATGAATTTAAACGAGCCTTAATTTTAGACTCATTTGATCTTAGCCTTTATCTGTTTCAAGAAATGACGAAGTTACAATGCTATTCAAACTCTGCCATTTGAATAGTTGCTAGAAGCTAGCTTAAAAAAGGAAAAAGAAAAAACAAGCCACACTGTATATGCATCCCAAAAGGGTAAACACACATTTAAGATGAAAAAGAGTTACTAAAACCAAGTTATCCACTACTTACCATTTTTCGGTGCAGGGGAAAATCCTGATGTGTTATCCAAACTTGGGGCTCCCTCAGGTACCAGACCTTTAGCTTGTGCTTTTGCCTCTTCGATAGCCAATTTCTTCTTTTCCACTTTACTTTCCAGATCAGATAAATCAACCTATAAACACAGGAACGCTGCTTATAACAAAACTTCGTAAACTAGACTTTCTCCTTACTCACTTATGGGGCGGGGTGAATTCTAAAGAGACCCAGACACCGTGACTACCATCCCGTTCCACTCACTGTACCAGGCCTGCAGCTAGTTTCAAACGGGATGAGGTTTTCCAACTCATGTTCTAAGCGGCAGCCTCTAATGAATGCTCACAATATGAAAAAGCAGCAAACCTTTTTCCGAGTATAGAGTTGCAAAATTTTTAAGCAGATTTCTTGTATCTCTTCCTCTGTTGCTCCAAAGAGTAAAAACCAGTGTGGACGATTAGGAAGTGGAATCTGCAAGGGAGAGGAAGATGTGCTCAGTTTTCCGCTTCTATTAAAAGACCTAACAAACTTGAAATTAATGGAAGCGTATGATGCTCACCTCCAGCGTCCTGGCTGCAAGGTAAATACATGCACAGGCAATGCTTTCTGGCTGGAATCTTACAAAGACATCTGTTCTCAGGCTATCATTCATGTAATTCCTGAAAGACAGGATATCAGCAAAGTTGCACGGAACTGCCAAGTTGTTTAGGGTTTGGGGGGCTTTTATTTTGTTTCTACTTCTACAAGGACTATTTCTTTCTGCATTCAGTTACTAGACTTTACTCCTGTAAATTTGAAGAAAAGTTGAATAATTTTACTAAAAAAAAAAATAATAAATAAATCCCCCAAGGGGAGGGATGTGTGTCAGAAATTAAGCTTGATAGACTGACTGGCTGCTGAAAATTCAGTTGTGAAAAGAGAACCAATTTTAACTTCACTTTTCCTTCTGGATGTCTACTGGCCTGCTCTCATGCAACAGACAAGTTATTTTCATCAAGACAACATACAATATAGTCTGAAGTACTCAGTTACAGACTTTTAGGTTCACATGTTTTTCTGCAATAGGGCTGAACCCAGATGATTTCCTGAAAGCTGCAGCTTCTGTAGTAGTTCTCCCATGAAAACGCAGTCCACTTCAGCACGCATCAACTTCCACTGGAGAATTAAGGGGTCCTTTTCCCTTCAGAAGCATTATTTTCCATCCAGAACAGAATTCTTTTTGATGCAAAAAGCAGCCATAGAAGAAACCAGGATGTTTGGGAACATCAATTCAGCAGAATACTCAGTATTCAGGCAGATGTCCTCTTTGGCACATGAAATACGGTTTCCAAATTGTCCCATTTCAGTAAGGTTGCTTAAAATGAATATTCACAGAATGAGAAAACTGTAAAATATTGCATATATTCCAGTCAGTACACTTAAGCATTATCCTTCTAAATCTTAAACACACAAAGTAACTTCCTCTGAATCTGTCAGCTGATGTGCTTAAAACGATCTAGATATTTGAGTACGTATGTCAAGCAAAGTATCAGATGGGGAAAAGCTAAAGCCGGACACAATAGAAAGTCCTCCGAGTGATACGCTTTCTGAAAGGAGTAATTAAGCATGTGGGTACCCAGTACACAAGGATTCACTAAGCCCCAAGACATCCAAAGCAGAGACCACAGTTCAGGCACTCGTAACCAGTTCACACAGTGTAGACAAAGGGAACCGGAATCCCAAGAGTATCGACCTCCCACCTGCCCCAGTTATCTTACACTCTATGTGAAGAGCAACTGCTACACCAGAGAAGCAATGCTAAACATCAGCTCATCTTTCTGTGAGAACAGAGCTTCAAAACCCACTTTTCTTGTCCCACTACAAAGAAAAAACAACCCTTTTGGCAAAAGGAGAAATAAAGAAAAAGTGGTACTTCAAACATCTGGAAGTTGTTACGTCCTTTTCCTAATTTGCCAAATTGGAAAAACACGCCTGCTTCCAAGTTTGGCCTCTGCATATTTTCCCTGTGGGCTCAGAATCAGACACATGAGGAAATGAATCCTTGTCACAATATTTTAAGAAAAAGGTATTGTTGTAAAAATGCACATGTCAAAAACCAATTATACTGGATATCCACCAGTTTTCAGGTACTGGAAGCAACAAGCATCAGTACACAAATATGTTATTTTAACATCTGAAGCATTTCTCAATTGGGGTAATTTCCTCCCTCCTCCTCACCTACCCCTCCTTCCATAACAAGTAGAAAACTGGTAATGAGTGGTCCGTAACTCACATTAGAGTACTTCATGCAACAGTAATGGGAAGTTTCTCTAAGTCCCAAGTATTACATTTGACTCCAAGCTTCACACATCTACTCAAATGTCTTCTAACTAGTTTACAAATGGAAATAGATTTCAGTTTCTGTTGTGTTAATTCATCCCTTTAAGACTTAAATCCCACCTTAATTTGCTTTATCATTTAAGAACACATCATTATAACAGTTATAACATTAAAAAAAATCTTTCAGAACTTCAACAATCAGGTTATAAAATATACAAACAGTCAAAATGCACAATAAAAATAAAAGTCAAAAAGTATAATCACAAGCAGCAGTTGGCCAGTTACTATACTATCATGTATATACCACCTGTCTAGAGTCAGCCTTCTCTTTGTAGAGCCTGCTTTGGTTTGACTGAAGACGGCAGCTATCCCTGCACCATAGCGCTTGGGCAGCAGAGGAGAAGTCTTAGTCACTTACCCTCAGAGGCTACCCTTTGATTAAAAGAGTACAGAAAAGAAAAGTCAAAACTGGTTCTCTACACACAGGTCACAGTACCAGACAGTTCAGTCAGCAGAAATATGATCTTTGGATTCACTAAAGGTTTTTAAACCACAGTATTGTTAAAAAAAAAAACCAAAACCAACATTATTGTCTAAAAGCATTAGCTATTTGTTAAGTTTAAAACCTGGAATTTTACATAAGCTTCCCATCCCCAAGCAAATCTTTACTGTAACGTGAGCAACAAGGTAGAGGACATTTCTTGGTAAGCATGAAAACATTGAGTTTATCCAGTCTCAGAAGGTGACATCGTGCATTATCCATATAGATAAATAAAATTTATCTGTGTTGAATTTTAGATACACCTACAATCAAGCTCAAGCCCTGGGAAAAGCCATTTCCCAGCATTGCTAACAGACTTTAACTACACATAATTTTCTCTGAAGAACAAAAAAACCCAAGGAAACACTATAACCCACTCAACATTTTCCCTTCAGCTGAAAAGTAAAAGCAGAGAGGAGGGAAGTGAGAAGTCAGGGTGGAAAGCTACCTTACCATTAAAACAGTGCCTCTAACTTAAGAGGCTGATCAACATTTGGGTAGTAGTTTGGGGCACGCCAAGAAACACTGGAGCTGTCTGGTGTGACCCACAATCATTTCTGAGCAATGTTGCCCAGAGTGCCTCAAGTGACATATTTCTGCTACTGCCCCTGCTGGTCTCTTATAACAAAGAAAATCAACTTACCATGAAGTCTGGACCAGGTGTTGGTTACGTTCACATTCTAATACCTGAAGGTACATAACGATTATCTGGAAGATATGGGTTATTGAGTTATTAACAAGAATCTTGAGAGCCACCTATTTATTTCAGAGGGACATCCATGAGGCATCTGTTATTCTCTTTCAAGCTCTAAAACACTCCACATGAGAGCGCGTTTGCAACATCCCCAGTGTTTATCCACACAGCTTCTGCACTCCAATGCAAAAGCTTGCACAAGTTGACACTCAACCAGATCTGACCTTCCTAGCTCTCCGTCTTCTGAGCTCAGCCATCATGCTATTCATCTAGATGTCTCGTCTTCACCTGTTTTCAAGCTAGGTATGTTCTCCTATACAATTCACGATTCCTTTTTAGCTGTAACTTGGGAAAAAATATTGCTAGCTGCAATAAGCAGTAACAGAAGTATAACAGTACTTGCAGAAAACGTGTTCTGTGTCACTGGTTTATTCAGATCTACTTTTTTTCTTAGGTTTGAAAGGAAAACAAGAAGGCAGATAAAAAGACTACTCTAATAGCAAAAACTCATACCAATTAACCAACAAGTGCAATTATCCTCTGGGGTACTGATAACATGAGTGAATTCTGAAAGTCAAGTAGGTTTAAGAAGACCTTAAGACAGCAGTCGTCTTTAAAGGAAGAAAGAGCAAGATCCCAAGTTCTGCTGGCACAGAAGGAGGAAGTGATTTTACCACACTTACCAACTTAAGGCACAACGCTAATGGTACTAAAGCACCAACTTCAGGTATTTGCAATAGTTACGTCCTCCAACTATCATCCTTGTCTGACATGTGATACTTAAATATTGAGAACTGTCTCATTTCTAGTCAAGCCCTTCACACCTGAGTGTACTTTTTAAAACATAAGAAAAACTGCTAACTAGCTCATACAGGTTTAATAACCTCTGCATGTTTCCACAAGGAGTGATCATGACACACAGTGTTTCTGGTAACAGGATCTCACAACCCTGTCTCCAAATTTCTTTCTGCTTAAGAATCTTTGTTTAGTTGACATTTTCTAACACCAAAACTACCTACTTATATAATTTGACTTCAAGGAATACTTAGCATCTGCATCCACCTCCAGTCGCCATTCAGCAGTGATACAAGCCCAATTAGTAAGAATCTCTTAAATGAGAAAGAAGACATAAGAACCTAGCTTAACTGAATTAACCAGCGTTATCATGTACAAACTGTGCAACTTCCATGCAGTTAGGCAGTCTACTCAAAGCATTTATAGCATACGAAACTGATGATAAAGTTAACTTATACAGTACAAACCTTATGAGGGTGCTTCACATGAACACAAAATCCCAACTCCTTTAACACTCTTCTTTCTGCCTTAATAATTTGGTTCTTCAAGTTCACATATTCTTGATCCAGTATAAGAGGCACCGGTTTTCTGCAAGACAGTTTCATATTCTGAAGAAGATAACCTTAACCTCAAAGAGTACTCATATGCAGCTTAAATTGTGCTCGTGTAAAAGTAAGAGGCATCACTATTTATAACACCAAAAATATTTACTTAATAAAGTGGGTCAACTCACTTTTCTCCTTCATAAGATCTCTTCAAGATGTTCCCTGATTTATGAAACAGGGAATGATACTATCATCGGCCCATGAACTTTAGTATTTAAAATACAACATAAATTATTTCAAAGTCTAAGCTTACTTTTTTTCCCGTAGATGTCTAAGGCGATGGAACACATTAATTACATCCCTTATGCGCCTTGGTGCTTCTTCAATTTTGGATGCCAGATGAACACAGGCCATTGACACATGCTGAAATATAAGTATTGCAACATACTGATGTTTTGCTGAAATCAGGAACTGATCGCCTCCAACAGCTTAAGGAGGGATAACAAGAGAAAATGGTGGTAAAACAAGGAAATACTAGAAATTTGACAATATCAGTACTACGTAGCTTTGTGAAATCACGTTGATCGGTAAGTAAAATCTACAGGCTAGCTACCAACACTCTGATCACATCTAGGTTGACAACTTGCCAAACCAGATCAAAGATTAGATAACATTTGTAGCCATATACTTTTCTTTTATATCTTTTAGCATTTTCTTACCTCCATGGAATGCTTCACAAAAGACTTGGTATAAAAAAAACGTTGAAATAGCACCTGTCCTGTAGCCATAGCCACCTGAAAAAGAAGTAACCACAACAAGTATTAACAAAACAACTACTAGTTCCCAAAAGAAATTACCTAGAATGATTTCAACAGATTTAAGACCCAGAAGGCTGGCTAAGCTATATTTAAGTATGGGAGTAAGTTCAGTGTTATCCAAAGAAAACTAGCACCCCTACCTCAGTAACGAATTAAGAGGCCCAAAATGTTATCAACATCACAAACACCGTAATACCTACATTAAATCACAAACTTCTTTTATGAAGTACGAAAATATACTCCAAATTAAATAAAACCAATAAAAAAATACCCTAAGCCATACACTAGAACCCAATAAAACTAAAAGTTATGACAATACGCCAGAAAAACGTTACGTTTTCAGTGTGGATGGAAGGGAGGAAATGTAATCACATTACGATTTGCTCACACTTGTAAAACAATTCGAGTAGCTCACACTCGGTAGCTATTAGATGGCCTGGGAAGTTTAACGCTCAAAGAGTAATGAGTTCTCCAGGAAACAAAACCTTTCCGAGGTCGCTACAATTCAAAGGACTCTAAGAAGCCCTTCTTTCCGCAATCCCTGACCTCAAACGGAGGAGCCCCCCCCTCCCCGACCCGAGGGGGCGGCGGAGGAAGGCGGTTACATCAGCCGCTTCCTGCTGCCG